ATAATGCTATACAAACTTAAACAACGTTGCTCCCCAAATCTATTGTGCATTAAACTTAATTATTCTGACTGGAGTTCTCTGACCATTGTTATGATACTGTAAACGTGATAGGCAGCATTCCCTGACTGGCCCCCAATAATCACACTCTTCTCACATGCAAAACACATTCATTCCATCCACCCCAATAGTTCTAAAAGTCTCAATTCATCCCTGCATCGACTTTAAGATCTAAATTCAAAATCTTGTCTAAATCTCATCCGAATGGGTTATGGCAGAAAACCAAGGCCCAATTCATACTGCGACAATGCCCCCCGTACACACACACACACACATGCCAGCTGTGAGCCTATGAAACCAAACCTGTCGTGGGCTTCCAGAATATAAGAGTTATGGGGCTGGTGCTGTGGCGTAGCAGATAAAGCCACCGCCTGCAGTGCCGGCATCCCTTATGGGTGCTGGTTCGAGTCCCAGCTGCTCCACTTCCGATCCAGCTCCCTGCTGGCAGTAGAAAGTGGCCCACATCCTTGGGCCCCTGCACCCACAATGAGAGACCCAGAAGAAGCTCCTGGCTTTGGATTGGCACAGCTCTAACCGTTGGGACCATCTAGGGAGTGAGCCAGTGAATGGAAGCTCACTCTGTGTGTGTGTGTGTGTGTGTGTGTGTGTGTCTGTGTGTCTGTGTGTCTGTGTGTCTCTCTGCCTCTATGTAGCTCTGCCTTTCAAACAAATAAATACATCTTAAATATATATGAGTGAGACAGGCATGGAATAGACAGGAAAATCAGGAAAGAAGAAAAGGGCAACAGGTCTCTACCAAATCCAAGAGCCCTAGGGAGAAGGCTAAATCTAAGGTTCTAGGATAACCTGGACTCCACCTCCTGCTTTGCAGACACATCGAGGGAGAGGTTGGACCCCTGTGGCTCTGGGCTGCCCTGGCCAGTGGCTTAGTTAGGTGCGGTGCACACAGCAGCTCTCACACGTTGGACTGAGGGGCCTGCGGCTCTCCAGGCTGGAGCTGCCTGATGGTGGGGGCTGTCTGTGGTGGTCCCACCCACCAGAGGCTCCGCCTGTTAACACTGTCACACTGGGGATTAAGCTTCAACATGAGCTTTGGAGGAACACAAACTTTCACACCATAGCATTTGAAGCTCTCTCCCTCTTTTTTCTCTATCATTCTGCCTTTTGCAGAAATAAATACATCTTTTAGAAAGACAAACAAAACCAAGTGCTTCCTTAAGAAAGGATACTGGGGCTGGCGCTGTGGCCTAGCATGTAAAGCCACCGCCTGCAATGCCCACATCCCATATGAGCACCGGTTTGAGTCCCGGCTGCTCCACATCCAAGCCAGCTCTCTGCTGTGGCCTGGGAAAGCAGTAGAAGATGGCCCAAATCCTTGGGCCCCTACACCGGTGTGGGAGACCTTGAAGAAGATCCTGGCTCCTGGCTTCGGATCAGTGCAGCTCAGGCCACTGCGGCCAACTGGGGAGTGAACCATCAGATGGAAGACCTCTCTCTCTCTCGACCTCTCTCTCTCTGCCTCTCCTTCTCTCCTTGGGCCCCTGCACCCACATGGGAGACCCAGAGGAAACTCCTGGCTCCTGGCTTCAGATCAGCTCAGCTCTGGCCATTGTAGTCATTTGGGGAGAGGACCAGTGGAATGGAAGACCTCTCTCTCTCTCTGGTTCTACCTCTCTCTGTCTTTCAAAGAAATAAAATAATTCTTTTAAAAAAGTAAGTAAGAGGCAGGTGTTTGGCCTAGGGATCAAGATGCCAATCAAGACACCAGCGTCCATATGGGAATGACTGGATTTGAGTCTCGGCTCCATGCCCAGTCGCAGCTTCCTGCTAATGTGCACTCTGGGAGGTGGTCACTGAGGGCTCAGGTACATGGGGCCTTGTCACCCATGAAGGAGACCTGGATTGTGTTCCAGGCTGCTGGCGCTGGCCTAGACCAGCCCTGGGTGTTGCAGCCATCTGGGGGAGGGAATCAGCAGACAGGAACTTGCTCACTCTCTGTCTCTCTGCCTCTTGACTAAAATCAATTTTTTTTTGTACAGGCAGAGTTCGTGAGAGAGACAGAGAGAAAGATCTTCCTTTTTCCGTTGGTTCACCCCCTAAGTGGCTGCTACGGCCGGCGGCACTGCACCAATCCGAAGGCAGGAGCCAGGTGCTTCTCCTGGTCTCCCATGGGGTGCAGGGCCCAAGGACTTGGGCCATCCTCCACTGCACTCCCGGGCCACAGCAGAGAGCTGGCCTGGAAGAGGGGCAACCGGGACAGAATCCAGCGCCCCGACCGGGACTAGAACCTGGTGTGCCGGAGCCGCTAGGCAGAGGATTAGCCTACTGAGCTGCGGCGCCAGCCCAAAATAAAAGTTCTAAACCAGTAAAAAGAAAGAAAGAAAGAAAGAAAGAAAGAAAGAAAGAAAGAAAGAAAGAAAGAAAGAAAGAAAGAAAGAAAGAAAGAAAGAAAGAAAGAAACAAAGAAAGAAAGAAAGAAAGAAGGAAAGAAAGAAAGAAAGAAAGAAAGAAAGAAAGAAAGAAAGAAAGAAAGAAAGAAAGAAAGAAAGAAAGAAAGAAAGAAAGAAAGAAAGAAAGAAAGAAAGAAAGAAATTTTAGAAAACGGGCCTGGTGCTGTGGCATAGAGGGTGAAGCTGTGGCCTGTGGCATTGGCATCCCATAAGGGCACCTGTTTGAGTCCCAGCTGCTCCACTTCCAATCCAGCTCCCTGCAAATGCGCCTGGGAAAGCAGTGGAGGATGGCCCAAATGTTTGAGCCCCTGCACCCACGTGAGAGACCCTGAAGAAACTCCTGGCTCCTGGCTTCGGTCTGGACCAGCCCTGGCCATTGAGGCCATTTGGGGAGTGAACCAGTGGATCTCTCTCTCTGTCTCTGTCTCTGTAACTCTGCCTTTCAAATAAATACATATTTAAAAAATTATAAAAATAAAAACTTAAAAAGCAAGTTTTATATAGTTTTCCGTAATACAACCAAGATTGCATGCTTTATAAGAACCTCAGATACAAGGGTACTTCCAGAAGTCCATAGAAAATGGAATAAAAATGTTTATTTTGTTGGAAAAAAAGTAGAAATCCACGCAATTTTTTCACACTATGAATTTTTCAGGAGCTTACTGAAAATCTCTCATATGCATGGATTTGAAAATTCTGTGTCAAAAAGATGTATCTTTTCACTCTGTTTTCCTTAAACTTGCACCGCTGCCCTGGTTTCTCCTTACTTAATCCTCACAAGGGTCGAAGAGGAACCTGGCTGTGAGCGCCGGCGTCTTTGAGCCTTTGTGCTGAGTCTGCTCCCCTCTAGTTCTGCTGACCCGCGTTGGGGCTCCCTACTTTCAACCGGCAGACCCCAAATAAACCACCCCGGCGCAGGTCGTCAGGCACTGAGCGGATTCGGACACAGGTACGCTACGTGCGGCTGTTAGAGGAGCTACAGATGTCAGTGTGAAAACTCTACACCCCACATTGAAGGGGAGAAGGAAGCTTACAGCACTCTGTGTCCGTGGGATTTTGCATACATGTACATAGAAGAGCCAGGGGCACGTCTATTTTTACTTTTTTTTTTTTTAATAGGCAGAGTGGACAGTGAGAGAGAGAGACAGAGAGAAAGGTCTTCCTTTGCCATTGGTTCACCCTCCAATGGCCGCCGCGGCCGGCACACTGCAGCCGGCACACTGTGCTGATCCGATGGCAGGAGCCAGGTGCTTCTCCTGGTCTCCCATGGGGTGCAGGACCCAAGCACTTGGGCCATCCTCCACTGCACTCCCGGGCCACAGCAGAGAGCTGGCCTGGAAGAGGGGCAACCGGGACAGAATCCGGCGCCCCAACCGGGACTAGAACCCGGTGTGCGGGCACCGCAAGGCGGAGGATTAGCCTAGTGACCCGCGGCACCGGCCACGTCTATTTTTAAATGGTTAGAATTTTCCAGAAAGCATGTCATTTGTAGAAAACCTGTAAGCCGTAAGGAACCTCAGGAAATGTCACAACCACTCCCTGCTTCCTTGTCTCTGCAGCCCCCAGGAGCAGGGCCCTGGGCAGACTCAGAGCCGGGTGGCCCGGGCCCTGTCAACTGGGGCAGCTCTGTCTTCCCCTGTGGGCCTGTTTCCCTTCAAACTCTACCAGCCTCTGAAACACAGGGTCTCAGCCTCCGCACTGCTGACGTTTGGACTGACAACTCCTTGTCACTGGGGCGGCGCTGTGCCTGGCAGTGTTCGGAAGCAGTCCTGGCCTCCACCCACCAGGGGTCAGTAGCACCCGCACTTCAGCCGTGACACCAGCGATGCCTCCAGCCATCCAGGTGTCCCAAGGGAAAAGTCACCCTGGATGGAGAACCACTGTTCCCAAAGGAAGTCCTGCACCGGGGGGAACTGGGACTAACCCTGCCCTTCGACAGTTACCCACCCTCACTTGGGGAAATCCACCCTTGCTGGAGACCAGAGTGGGAGGAGACGGAGGGAGGCCAGGCCACCCCCAGACAGATGCTCAGCCACCATGGCTGTTCGGGGCTAGGGGCACGTGGATGACAACAGGGCACGATCTCTCTGAGCCTCCTTGTTTCTGGGGAGCAGGAGGGGAAAGCCCCACAGGGGAGCACCCCCCACACACGCACACACACACGCCAGAGGCGAGGGTCCATTGCTACCATCGTGGACTGGACGCTGAGACCGCGGGAGGCTGCAGCGGCAAATCTGCCAGCCTGAGCCTCCTCCTCCCGTCCACCTCTCTGCCCACTCCCTTCACCTGTCACAGCGCCAGCGTTCACCCAACTCACTCCGTACACAGGGATTCGGCTCTGGGTCCCGGGGTCTCCATGTCTTCCGGAAGACCCGTGCCACACATAACTTGTATTAGATAAACGTGTGTCCTTTTTTCTGTTGATCACAGCCATTCAATTCTCCTATCACTCATTCCACCCTAAAAGAATGGAGATAAAATTCTGCCTCGCCTACAGTGGGCATGGCATTCTCAACAGAGAACAGCAGTCCCTGAATTCGATGGTGATTTTATTACAAGGAAAGAAAGCAATGCATGGGTCACCTAGGTAATAAGTTCAACTACAGGGGCAAAGGATCTTTTTTTAATTCTCCATCACTACACATGGCTCTCGCCCATGTCTCCTCTCAGAACACGTGGGTTAACAATCTCAAAGGGGGAGGTGGGGGACTGAAGTCCATCTGGTGGGCAGGGAAGGTGGTGCCTCCCCCTTCTCTTCTGGACACGGCCCTCAGCACGGTTCACTTCGGATGATTTTGATATCATGGCCGTCCTCCCTGCAATGGAACAACCATAACAGCACAATCATTACCCACCAGGCTGGGGGCTGGCACCGGGGTGCACAGTTCACCTATAGCTTGTGACACTGGCATCCATATTGGAGTGCCGGTTCAAGACCCTGCTGCTCCACTTCGGATCCAGCTCCTTGCTAATGCATTCTGAGAGGCAGAAGATGATGGCTCAGGTGCTTGGGCCCTTGCCATCCACACAGGAGACCCAGGTGGAGTTCTAGACTCTCGGCTGGGGCCGGTGCTGTGGCTTAATGGGTGAAGCCACCGCCTGCAGTGCTGGCATCCCACATGGGCACCAGTTCAAGTCCCGGCTGCTCCGTTGCTTCCCTTCCAGCTCTCTGCTATGGCCTGGGAAAGCAGAAGATGACCCATGTCCTGGGGCCCTTGCACCTGGGGAGACCCGGAAGAAGCTCCTGATACCTGGCTTCAGATTAGCCCACCTCCGGCCGTTGTGGCCATTTGGGGAGTGAACCAGTGGATGGAAGACCTCCTCTCCTCTTCTCTCTCTCCCTCTCCCCCTCCCCCTCTCCCTTTCTCTCCCTCTCCTCTCTCTCCTCCCCTCCCCTCCCCTCCTTTCCTCTTCTCTCTCTCTGCCTCTGCCTCTCTGTAATGCTGATAGATAAATAAAATATTAAATAATATTAAATAAATATTAAAAATTAAATAAATAAAATATTTTTTAAAATAGACTCTTGGCTTTGGCCTGGCCCAGCCCTAGTCATTGAAGGCACTTGGGGATAGAACCAGCAGGTGGAAGATCACTCTGTCTCTCCCCCATCCTCTCTGCATTTCAAATTAATTAACTTAAATAATTCTCTTAAAAAACTCATGCCAGGGCAGGCAATGGGGCAGGCATCCCAAATGGTAATCCCTGGGTTCAAGTCCCGGCTCTGCTGCCCACTAACACACACTCTGGGAGGTAGCAGGTGCGGCGTAACTCCTCCAAACACTCCCACCGGTGAAGGAGACCTGGAGGAGTGCCTAGCCCCTAGCTCCAGCCTGCTCCAGCACCAGCTGTTGCTGGCATTTGGGAACTGAACCAGCAGATGTCAGATCTCTGTCTCTAACTTTCAAATAATTTTTTTTTCATTTTTAAAAGACCCACCACTACATACTAGATTTCTCCCAGAGTGAAAGTCCCCTTTCTGCCCCTTTTTCCTTCACCCTAGGGCACGCACCCCAAAGACTCACTCAGAGATGGCCGAGGTGTCTGGGTAAAGGCTGCGGTTGAGAATGGACCCCTGCTATACAAAGTCACGCCCCTGGAGGCGGACCCAGGGCCCCTGGGAGCTGTGTGTGAGTTACCTGAAGGGAGACAGGTAGCGCACACCTGTCACTCGGGGCTCCTGCTTCCAGACCGGCAGGACCACGTGGGCAGGCCGTCTGCACGCACCTTCTGAGTTGCAAAGACTGAATGCTCTGCAGAGCTCAGCTCCTCCCTGCACCCCTAAGGATGGAGGTGCCCCCACTGGCTGAGCTGGTCAGCAGCTGCCTGAGCGCCTACCTCATCCTCCAACTCCGACCAGGAAAACGCACTGAGGATCTGCGGCTTTGTAAATGTCAGTCAGAACTAGAACTACTCATGTCGCATTTGAGGCTTAAGTGTAAGGAAAAGTCACAGCCATGGGCGCCGGTTCTAGTCCCAGCTGCTCCTCTTCCAATCCAGCTCTCTGCTATGGCCTGGGAAAGCAGTGGAAGATGGCCCAAGTCCTTGGGCCCCTGCACCTGTGTGGGAGACCCAGAAGAAGCTCCTGGCTTCAGATGGGCACAGCCCCGGCCGTTGCAGCCATCTGGGGAGTGAACCAGCAGATGGAAGACCTCTCTCTCTGTCTCTACCTCTCTCTGTATCTGTCTTTCAAATAAATAAATCTTAAAAAAAAAAAAAAAGTCTTAAAAAAAAAAAAAAAAAAAACAGGAAAAGTCACAGCCTCCTAAGGAATCTAAACCCAAGAAAAGAACAGAGCTGCAGCTGCCGCGCTGTCGCGGCCACAACGCCCCGTTACCTGATCTTCATGCACAGAGTGCATTCGTTGGGGTAAGTGGACATGTCGCTTCCACACACGGGGTTGAAGTCCCTGGGGCAGCCTGGTAACTTATACTGCGCGCAGTTCGGCTGGAAGAGGAAGGGAGACAGAAGACAGAGAATGAATTGCGACACACTCATTACAAAAGAGCTCAGGGGGAGTAAGGTCTAGAGTGTCCCTCGAATTCTTAGAGATATTCCACAAAAATATTTCTATTTTCTGCAGAGAGAGAGAGAGAGAGAGAGAGAGAGAGAGAGATTTTTCCAATGCAAAAGTCCAGGTTTCTTTGAATGTGTCACTAATCATGAGTTCTGTGTGCTGCCACAAGCTGATATCCATAACCTATCATCTATGAGCTCCACTTTGGTTTCTTTAAAGCGGGGTTCCACACACTCAGCACCACTCACGTTTTGGGATAGTCCATCACTAGCCGCTTGTCTCCAGCAGGGCCAGGACTGGAACTGGTATGGTAATCAGACCACGGGGCAGAGTCCCACTTCAACCAAAGCTTAATAGACGACCTGCTCTGTTTCTGAGACACAAACACTTCAGAAAAGTTCGTGGCAGGGGGGGCCTTGTGGCCCGTTAGGATGCCCGCGTGCTGTACCAAAAGTGCCAGAATCTAGACTCTCACTTCCGATTCAGCTTCCTGCGAATGCGCACCCCGGGAAGCAGCAGATGATGGCTCAAGTACTTGGGTCCCTGCCATCCACGTGGGAGACCTGGGTTGAGTTCTGGGCTCCCAGCTTTGACCTGGCCCAGCCCTGGCTGCTGGAGGCATTTGAAGAATAAACCAGTGCATGGATGATCTCTCTCTGTCTTTTAAATAAATAAAAACAAATGAATCTTTAAAAGCACTAATGAAACTAGGAATAGAAGGGAACTTGCTCAACCTGATAAAAGGCACTATTTTAAAGAAAAAAAAACACAGGAAGTATTTTACTTAATGGTAAAAGACTACATGCTTTTCCCTACAACCAGAAACAAGTCAAAAATGTCCACTCTCACCTCCTGTATTCAACACTGTACTGAAGCTTCTCACCAGGACAATTGGGCAAAGAAAATAAATAAAATCAAAGACTGAAAATGAAGTAAAACTGTATTCAAAGATACCAATCTTATATGTAGAAAGTCCTAAGGAATACCCACCAGAAAACATAGAATAACCAAGTTCACAAAGTTATAGGATACAAAAATCAATGTACAAAAATCAACTTTATTCTGCACATTAGCAAGAAATAATCCAAAAATAAAATTAAGAGAACAGAGGCCGGTGCAGTGGCATACTGGGTTAAGTATCTGCCTGTGGTGCCAGTATCCCATATGGGTACCAGTTCAAGTCCCAGCTGCTCCTCTTCCAATCCAGCTCTCTGCTATGGCCTGGGAAAGCAGTGGAAGATGGCCCAAGTGCTTGGGCCCCTGCACCCATGTGGGAGACCTGGAAGAAGCACCTGGCTCATGGCTTCAGATCAGCCCAGCTCTGGCCATTGCGGCCATCTGGGCAGTGAACCATGGAAGTCTCTCTCTCTGTCTGTCTCTCTTTCTAACTAAGCCTCTTAAGTAAATAAATAAATCTTTAAAAAAACAAACTGAGCTTAACATTCAGCCGCAAAGACAAGGAACAGTGTCGGAAACGGAAGGCTCACTTCAGAGAGCCAGGGATGGAAACAGCGTGACACTGGGATGCGGAGGGAGGAGCGCAAGCTGAGAGAGGGCAGCAGAGAGGCCAGGTAGAAGGGCAGTCTGCATTCGGGGCACTCGCTCTGAGGGCAACAGGAAGTCCGGCAGGGTCTGCACAAGGACATGCTAGGCTCAAGGTCAGAGTTCCAGTTGCCATAGCAAGAGGGTTGGGAAGACCGGCTGGGGGTTTCTTTATATATATATATTTTTTTTTAATTTTTTTGACAGGCAAATTTAGACAGTGAGAGAGAGAGACAGAGAGAAAGGTCTTCCTTTTCCGTTGGTTCACCCCCCAAATGGCCACCATGGCCAGTGCGCTGTGGCTGGCGTGCTGCGCTGATCCGAAGCCAGGAGCCAGGTGCTTCTCCTGGTCTCCCATGTGGGTGCAGGGCCCAAGCACTTGGGCCGTCCTCCACTGCCTTCCTGGGCCACAGCAGAGAGCTGGACTGGAAGAGGAGCAACTGGGACAGAATCTGGTGCCCCAACTGAGACTAAAACCTGGTGTGCCGGTGCCAAAGGCGGAGGATTAACCTAGTGAGCCGCGGCGCCGGCCAAGCTGGGGGTTTCTAAGCAAACCTAGGCAAGAGGTAATGGGGGCTGCAACTTGGGAAGTAGCAAAGCAAATGGACAGGAAAAACCAAGGAGCTCTCTGGTGAGTCACCCTTTTAATAATCCTTCTAAACCGGGCAGGCCCTGCACACCTGCCCTGCCTCCTGAGTGGGACTGTGTCCTCACACTTCACACACCGTGGGCACCACACTCACCTCACCCCGAGACAAAGGCAGGAGGATTCTTTTTCTGGAAGGAGACCAGACCCAAGGTAACTGAGTCACATGACCCAAGAGCACTACTGGGCACCCACAGGGAGCTGAGAACTGGGCCCTGCGGGCCATCATGTCTGACCCCTGGAGTGTGGCTTCCTTGCCGGGAGACAGGTGAATGAGGAATCACAATTCAGTTCCAGGCCGGGGTAGTGAGAAGCACAGGAGCCGCAGTCAGACTGCCTGGACTGGAAGTTTGGTTCTATAATACCCAGGTGACCCTCGCCACGGGGTAATCATGCCCACCTCACAGTGCTAGCAAAGATGGAACACAAAGCATGTGGAACAGGGCGGGGCACATGGGTGCCACGGTGATGACGGCACCGTATTCAACAGCAGCACAGAGAAAGTGCATGTCTGTGTGCTTTGGAGGAAGGACGCAGGGCTGGAAGCCTTCCTGGAAGAGGTCAACTACCGCCCAAACACCTGCAGTGGCTTAACCCGCTGATGTTAATCCAGTAACAGCTATCTGACAAGGTCACCGTGAGAATGGAGACTGAATGCGCAGACAGGTAACAACCAGATCCTCCAAGGGGACTTGAAAACGGTCACAGAAAATGCGACTAAAAGACAGGCTTGGGGCTGGCACTGTGGCTCATCAGGTTAAGCCACTGCCTGCCGTGCCACCATCCCACATCAGAGTACAGGTTCAAGTCCCGGTACTCCACTCAATCCAGGTTCCTGTTAATGCTTGCGGGCAGGCAGTGGAAGATGGTCCAAGTCCTTGGGCCCCTGCCACCCACATCCAAGACCCACATGGAGTTCCTGGCTGCTGGCTTCAGCCTGGCCCAGAGCTGGCTCAGAGTTGTGGTCATTTGAGGAGTGAGAAGATCTCTGTCTCCCTTTTCCCTCTGTCGGCCTTTCAAATAAATACATCTTAAAACAAAAACAAATAAGCTAACTTCGGTGCAAACTTTTTGAAGTCCATGCATAGCTTGTTCATAATACACCTTTCCCATAACATTCTTGAAAGACTCCTCATAGAAAAAGAACTGTAGCCACCCGCCCGGGAAACTAAGCCGCAGCATAGCAAAACCAGCCCAAGTCAGCCTTCGAGGAAGCCAGGCGGCTCCCGCCAGCAACAGGCCAGGAAGCCAGACAGCAATCAGCACCAGAAGGCCGGGACTTCCTGAACCCACGGCGCTCCGTACCTTTTGTCCTTGACTCCACCTTAAGGCCAACCGGAGGCTGCCTGACATGGAAAGCCCCATGGCTGCTCTGAATTACCCGCGCCAGTCCCTCTCCCATACCAGGCTGCTCCCTTGCTCTGCAAGCTCTCAGTAAACAGCCTTGGCTTGTTCTCCTGGGAGCGCTGTGCCATTGACACCCACAGATTGATGTGATAAAGCATGACTCTCCAGCCGCGGACTTCTTGAATTACTAGAGAAGACAAAAAAGCAAGCACAGCTCTGAGGCCAGCGAAGACTGAACTACTTTCAAGGAAAAGTTACACTCCTATCTGAATCCAAAGGGTTAGCCGGCTGCCCCTGCCTGTGACACCAGCATCCCATATGGATGAGGGTTCGAGTCCCGGCTGCTCCATCTCAAGCCAACCTCCTGCTACTGCGCCTGGGAAAGCAGCAGAAGAGGGACCAAGTACTTGGGGCCCCGTCACCCATATGGAAGGCCCAGATGGAGTTCCAGGCCCCTAGCTGTGGCATGGCTCAGCCTGGGTCATTGTGGCCATTTGGGGAATGAACCAGTGGATGAAAACTCTCTCTCTCTCTCTCTCTGGGGGTGGAGGATAGGGGGTGGTGTCTGTAACTGCCTTTCAAATAAATAAATCTTTGAAAATTCATAAAAGCATCTATGGAAAGTAAGAAAGAAACCGGGGGGGGGGGGGGAGAGGGAGGGAGGGACAAGATGGGCCAGCGAGCACCGGCTTTCTAAAGCAGACGACAGTTCGTAAAATGGCAGATCAGACCCTAACATCAGCCCCCAAGCAAAGCGGTTCGCGTCTCCCGGTGTCCACGAGGAAAACGCGAGTGGTTTCCCACTTACTGTTCTATACTCTGAAGGCTGCCCGAACTGAGAGTCCGCAGAGGCTGAAAGAGGAAAACAGAGGCAGATTACAGAACAGGGCGGGAGCCGGCTGGTGAGCTTCAAGCCACATCCTCCTCTCGTCCCCAGCCAGCACCCCCACACGGGCTGCTGCCCACGGGGCGCAGGACGCACGGCCACTCCGGTCCCCACCCGACCTGGGGAGAACCGACCCGGCAGCCGGGGCCCACGCCCGGGCTCTGGCCAGACTCGGCCCCTTCTCAGGGCCACTCTCCACTGCAAGGCCCCGGACGTCCCCCGCGGGCTCTACAAACCCAACACGCGGGCCTGGGCACAGCCACCCTGCGCGAAGACACCACGAGCAGGCGGGGGGACACGCTGAAGCAGCGGCTGGCCCAGCCGGCCACCAACCAAGGGGCGCCGCCGGGTCCTCAGGGCAGCGCCCACGGCGGGGAACCGCCACTAACGGGCGCGCGGGGCCGGTGGCCGAAGTCTCCCGGAGCCGGGACAGCGCGGCGCCGGCCCGATGCTTCCCCCAGAGGCGCCCCGGCGCGGGTGGCCGCTCGCCTGGCCCTCAGGGAGCGCTACCTGCCAGGGCCCCGGCCAAGAGCAACAGCACCAAGCGCAGCTCCGCGAGCGCCATCCTCCCCACGTCGTGGGCCGCCGGGACTGCGCGGACCCCGCGGACCGCGCCACGCGCACCGGGAGCTCGGGGCTGGGGGCGGGGCGGCGAGCAGGGCGGGTCTGGGGAGGGGCGAAGGGCTGGGCAGCGAGGAGGGCGGGGCCGGGCAGGGGCTGGGCTGGGGCGAGATGGGCGGGTCTGGGGCGGGGCAATGGGCGATGGGCGGGCCTGGGGCGGGGCGGGGCGGGGCCGGAGAAGGCTTTGCCTGGGAGGTGAGAAGTGGTCTCAACGCTAGACCTGGAGCTGTAAGGGTGAGAACGCCTGGGGAAGACTTTCAAGGATTTATTATTTGCTTTTTTTAAAAGATTTTATTTATTTATTTATTTATTGACAGGCAGAGTTAGACAGTGAGGGAGAGAGAGAGAAAGGTCTTCCTTTTCTGTTGGTTCACCCCCCCAAATGGCCACTACGGCCGGCCGGGGCGCTGTGCCGATCTGAAGCCAGGAGCCAGGTGCTTCCTCCTGGTCTCCCATGCAGGTGCAGGGCCCAAGCACATGGGCCATCCTCCACTGCACTCCCTGGCCACAGCAGAGAGCTGGACTGGAAGAGGAGCAACTGGGACAGAATCCAGCTCCCCAACCAGGACTAGAATCCAGGGTGCTGGCACCGCAGGCGGAGGATTAGCCTAGTGAGCCGCAGTGCCGGCCGAATTATTTTTTATAAATGTATTATATATTTGAAAGGCAGCTCTCAAACGTCTCTGTAAGACAGAGATCTTTCATCCCCTGGTTCACTCCCCGGATGGCTGCAATGTCGAGGGCGGAGCCAGGCTGAAGCCAGGAGCCTGGAACTTCTTCCTGGTCTCCCACATAGGTGCAGAGGCCCAAGTGCTTGGGCCATCCTCTGCTGCCTTCCCAGGCGTGTTAGCAGGGAGCTGGATGGGAAGTGGATCAGTGGGTACTGGAATCAGCTCTCATATGGAATGCGGAGAGGCAGATGGTGGCTTAACCCTCTGCACCACAGCGCCAGCCCCAACTTGAGTTCTGTTCACGATCCTCCTCTCCCAGGTAAACTCCAAAAGGAGAGTGATTCTTGTTGGTTTATGCTGCATAGCCAGCACCCGGAGATGTTGATGAACGAATAGAGGGGGTTCTATGGACTTAAGAGCTTAACTTACCTAAAGGAAAGGAATGCCCACAGAATGCAACAAACCACTAGGAAGCTACGTGTGTGAACCCAAGCAAACGGCTAAGAAGAACTGAAGCTTACCAAGACCATATGATGCACCCACAGGTCCAGCCACAGCTGGGTCTTCTTTTTTAAGATTTATTTATTTATTTGAAAGAGTTATACAGAGAGAAGGAGAGGCAGAGGGAGACAGAGAGAGAGGTCTTCCATCCACTGGTTCACTCCGCAACAGCTAGAGCTGCACTGATCGAGGCCAGGAGCCAGGAGCTTCTTCCGGGTCTCCCACATGGGTGCAGGGACCCAAGGACTTGGGCCATCCTCCACTGCTTTCCCAGGCCACAGCAGAGAGCTGGATGGGAAGTGGAGCGGCCGGGTCTTGAACCGGCATCCCATATGGCGTGAACCCGCCGAGCCACAGCGCCGGCCCCTTATAGCTGAGTCTAGGTGCATGGGATCCACGTCTTCCAGACCTTGGGCACCTGGAATGGGAGAGCAATGACCTACCCCCACTATGCCGCATCCCACTCCCCCCCAAGCTCCAGAGGCAGCACCACGGGGTCCGGGGCACTGTTCCACCAGCACCATGTCCTGCCCCTGCAGGATTAAGTGCTACACCAGGACTCTGTCCTTGTCCAAGTGCTGCTTTCCATGTGCCTGCAGGACCTCCTGGTGCTCAGCCAACGCCTGGTGGGTCCCCACGTGACTCTCCAAGTTGTTACTTAACACGTGCTGGCAGTCACAACACAATTAACGAATTTTGTTCTCTCCGGTCTTGCATGAAAAAGCAGGAAATGTTTAAGAATTTGTAAGAGGGTATGTGTGTGTGTGTGTATACACACATATATATATATATAACTAGTAAATTCTACAACTTCGGTAGAGCATTTAAAAGGTTGGAAGCACAATATGCAGGGGCTGGCGCTGTGGCATAGTGGGCTAAGCCTCTGCCTGCAGTGCCGGCATCCCGTATGGCTGCCAGTTCTAGTCCCAGCTGCCCCTCTTCCGATCCAGCTCTCTGCTATGGCCTGGGAAAGCAGTGGAAGATGGCCCAAGTCCTTGGGCCCCTGCACCCATGTGGGAGACCTGGAGGAAGCACCTGGCTCCTGGCTTCGGATCAGTGCAGCTCCGGCCGTTGCGGCCATTTGGAGGGTGAACCAGCAGATGGAAGACCTGTGTGTGTGTGTGTGTGTGTGTGTGACTCTGCCTTTCAAATAAATAAATAAATCTTTGAAAAAAAAAAGAATTAAATGTTAAAAATGCACTAAAAGAGAAGTTTATCCTAAAAAAATACACATGCATCACCACTCCCCAGCAGTGCCTCGAGTTTTCAAGTCTTCTTCCTTGAGAAGCTCCCTTTGAAAGCATGCACTGATTCTGAATACAGCTTTTGGGGGCTATCCAGTAACTTCATGAGAAGTTTAGGGAAGAAAAATACTTTGGGACAGGCATTTGGCCTAGCAGCTACAGTGCCTGTTGGGAGGCCCACATCCCATGTTGGAGTGCCGGGGTTTGAGTCCCAGTTCCAAATTCCGGCTTCCTGCTAATGTAGACCAGACCCTGGGAGGTAGCAGGTGACAGCTCAAGTAATTAAGTCAGTGCCACCCATGTGGGAGACCCAGATTGAATTGCAGGCTCCTAGCTTC